GGGAGGCTGAGGCGGGTGGATCACGAGGTCAGGAGTTCAAGACCAGCCTGGCCAAGATGGTGAACCCCTGTCTCTACTAAAAATACAAAACTTAGCCGGGTGCAGTGGCAGGCGCCTGTAATCCCAGCTACTCGGGAGGCTGAGGCTAGAGAATCGCTTGAACCCAGGGGGTGGAGGTTGCAGCGAGCCAAGATTGTGCCTCTGCACTCCAGCCTGGGTGGCAGAGTGAGACTCCATCTCAAAAATAATAATAATAAATAAATAAATAGGCCAGGTGCAGTGGCTCATGCCTGTAATCCCAGCACTTTGGGAGGCCAAGGTGGGTGGATCACGAGGTCAGGAGATCGAGACCATCCCGGCTAACACAGCGAAACCCGTCTCCACTAAAAATGCTAAAAATTAGCTGGGTGTGGTGGCGGGCACCTGTAGTCCCAGCTACTCAGGAGGCTGAGGCAGGAGAATGGCGTGAACCTGGGAGGCTGAGCTTGCAGTGAGCCGAGATCGCGCCACTGCACTCCAGCCTGCGGGACAGAGCGAGACTCTATCTCAATAAATAAATAAATAAGTACATAAGTACATAAAGTTGTATTGGAACATAGCCTTGCTCACCTATTCATTTACACATTGTCTATGGCTGTCACAAGTGAGTGGTTGCAACAGAGACTGTATGATCCCCAAAGCTTAAAATATCGACTATTTAGAACGAGACTCTGTAACTATAAAAAAGAAAGAAAGAAAGAAAGACAAAAGAAAAGAAAGTAACTACAGAAAGTCGTATAGCAACAAAACTCTCCAGGAAGGTACTTATTAGGATACCTGTTATCAGAGGCAGTATGTATCATAGAATGAGCATCAACTTTGAACCTAGATTTGACCCATATTTCTGCTGTTTATTGGGCTGAACAAACCTTGCCTCACAGAGTTATTATCAGGATTAAGTGTTATGATCTAACTCAGCAGTCCCCAACCTTTTTGGCACCAGGGACCAGTTCTGTGGAAGACGATTTTTCCACAGACACCAGGGGTCGGGGAGAAAGTGATTTGGGGATGAAACTTCTACCTCAGATCATCAGGCATTAGATTCTTGTAAGGAGTGCACAACCTAGATCCTTCGTGTGCAGTTTGCAATACGGTTCGCACTCCTGTGGGAATCTAATGCTGCTGCTGATCTGACAGGATGAGGAGCTCACTCGCTTGCCTGCTGCTTGCCTCCTGGTGTGCAGCCCAGTTCCTAACAGGTCACAGACCAGTACCGGTCCTTGGCCTGAGGGTTAGGGACCCCGATCTAACTGACCATACTTAGTACTACTAAACTGTCGTGTTCTTCCTTCCAGTCTCTCTGTCTTCATCGTTTCCGTCACTGATCTGAACACATCATAAGCACAAGACCTGGACACCTTTACAATAAGAAGTAGCACCTGTCTGGAACTGTATCTTGACTCTCACTGGTGCTTTTCCTTTGGTTGATGCAAAGCTTTCGAATGCTTTAGGTAGATGCCATTGTGAGTATCTATGGTACTATGATACTACTACTATCTATGATCACTTTGAGTATCTATGGTACTATGATACTACTATCTATGATCATTGTGAGTATCTATGATAGTCTCCTGCGCCTTCAAAATCTTTGCCTTCTCCATAGAACTTTCCCAAGTAGCATGTAAGATCCAAAGGTATCAGTCACACTGATCCAGAACAGTCAGGGAGTGTAGTGAGGGGAAGGAAATGTAAATTGTCTCGTCAGCAGTTATTTATTTCATTTCATTTCATTTATTTATTTTTTTTTTTGAGACAGAGCCTCGCTTTGTCACCCAGGCTGGAGCGCAATGGCGAAATCTCAGCTCACTGCAACCTCCACCTCCTGGGTTCAAGCAATTCTTCTGCCTCAGTCTCCAGAGTAGCTGGGATTACAGGCACCCACCACCACACCCAGCTAGTTTTTTGTATTTTTAGTAGAGATGGGGTTTCACCATGTTCGCCAGGCTAGTCTTGAACTCCTGGCCTCAAGTGATCTGTCTGCCTCGGCCTCCCAAAGTGCTGGGGTTACAGGCATGAGCCACCATGCCCGGCCAGCAGTTATGTTTTGATGGCCTCTTGAGAATGGAAGCCTGTGTGGGTTCTGTTGTCTGCATTGCTGTGGATCCTGAAAGGTATTCTGTTGGCACTAGGCGCTGAGTTGCGGGCAGGTCGTGGTGGTCCAATGTTCAGTTGGCATATTTCCACATGTAATTCAGGCGCCCAACTTCCACCATAGCCTAGGGCTTCAGTCTTCACCCTGAGATCCCTGGTTTCATCAAGATGCTCAGCTCCATTCGGCAACTCGCGGACACCCGAGATATCTTTTTTAATGGCAATGTATTAGTGCACACTTCCTTTTGTCCTAAGTACTCTGTGCACATTTCTGAAGCTAATCTTTGCAACAATCCTCTGAGGAGATACAGTACTGTCAGTACTCCCATTTTATCGATGAGAATACTCACAGGAAGGTTAAATAATTTGCCCAGCTCTCTCAGCCAGTAAGTGATGGCTTCAGAACTGAAATCTAGCAGGAAGTTCAAAGCCCCTGGGCCTCACTGCGCTATACAGTCCCTTCCAAAGCCTGAGTCTGCCTCCCTCTGAATGCACTTTTCCAAGTATATACATATGCACAAGGTACATTTCCAAGGACCTCCTGGCTCTGATGATATAAATATCATCTCTAATTGTAGCACATCAATATAATGGAATACCATGAAGCCATTAGAAAATGGTGCAGATCTATATTTATCGGCATGGGAAAATATCCACAAAGCAAAGTGAAAAGCAAATTACAATGAAATATACCATACCCAGCCGGGCATGGTGGCTCACACCTGTAATCCCAGCACTTTGGGAGGTCGAGGTGGGTGGATTACTTGAGGTCAGGAGTTTGAGACCAGCCTGGCCAACATGGATAAACTCCGTCTCTACTAATAAAGTACAAAAATTAGCCTAGTGTGGTGGCGGGTGCCCGTAATCCCAGCTACTCAGGAGTCTGAGGCAGGAGAATCGCTTGAACCTGGGGGACGGAGGTTGCAGTGAGCCAAGATCGTGCCATTGCACTCCAACCTGGGTGACAGAGTGAGACTGCGTCTCAAAAAAAAAAAGAAAAGAAAAGAGAAGAAAAGAAATATACTATACCCTTTTGTAGAAATAAAATAAATCCAACATGGGCTGGAAGAATAAACCAAGTTATTCTCTTGAACTCCTGGGCTCAAGTGATCCTCCCACCTTGGCCTCCCAAAATGCTAGGATTTAGGCATGAGCCACAGAGCCTGGCCCCGTCATTCTCTTTGGGTGAGCGTTGAAGGTAATTTTCACGTCTGAGCTCACTATAGCATGGGAAGGGTTTAGACTAGAATTCAACATGCTACTTTTGGAGAACCGTTCCGAAAAACGGAGAAGCGGTGAAGACACAGCTCAGGGTGAAACGAAGCTGCCCAGGAAGCTCTAGGGCAAGCTTGTCCAATCCGTGGCCTGGAAGCTCTAGGGCAAGCTTGTCCAATCCGTGGCCTGGAAGCTCTAGGGCAAGCTTGTCCAATCCGTGGCATGTGGGCCACATGCGGCCCAGGACAGCTTTGAATTTGGCCTAATGCAAATTTGTAAACATTCTTAAAACATTATGAGATTTGTGATTTTATTTTTTTTAAAGTTCATCACCTATCATCAGTGTATTTTATGTGTGGCCCAAGACAATTCTTCTTTTTCCAACATGGCCCCAGGAAGCCAAAAAATTGGACACTCAGACAGGCGCAGTAGCCCATGCCTGTAATCCTAGCACTTTGGGAGGTCGAGGCAGGCAGATCACTTGAGGCCAGGAGTTCGAGACTAGCCTGGCCAGCATGGTGAAATTTCGTCTCTACTAAAAATACAAAAATTACCTGGGTGTGGTGACGGACACCTGTAATCCTAGCTACTTGGGAGGCTGAGGCATGATAATTACTTGAACCCAGGAGGCAGAGGCTGCAGTGAACCGAGATCGTGCCACTACACTCTAGCTTGGATGACAGAGTGAGACTCCATCTCAAAAAAAAAAAAAAAAAAAAATGCCAGGAGTGGTGGCTCAAGCCTGTAATCCTAGCATTTTGGGAGGCCGAGGCAGATCACTTGAGATCAGGAGTTCAAAACCAGCCTGGCCAACATGATGAAACCCTGGCTTTACTAAAAATACAAAAATTAGCAGGGTGTGGTGGCGGGTACCTGTAATCCCAGCTACTCAGGAGGCTGAGGCAGGAGAATCGCTTGAACCTGGGAAGTGGAGGTTGCAGTGAACCGAGATCATGCCACTGTACTCCAGCCTGGGCAGAGTGAGACTCTATCTCCAAAAAAAAAAAAAAAAAAAAAAAAAAAAGGTTGGACACCCCTGCTCTAGGGTCTAGGACTGGAGCTCTGGATCTGACCGGGAGCAAAGAGGCATGCAAATCCGGACACGACCACGAGGAGGCAGTAGAGACCCATCCTCAACTCTAAGTAGCTGCCTTTGGCAGGGAAGGGACTAACCCAAGTTGTGTGGGCTCAGGCATGGCCATGTCTGGTTCAGTGCAGGAACACAGGCAGAGGCAAGCCCTGGGTCCGCATCATGGTTCTGCCCTCACTCAGACTGCCTTGTACATGTAGGTTCTTGCCTTGGAGCCTCTTTCCCCACCTCTGAATGAGTGGAAAGCCACCCACAGGCCCCTGTGAGTGAGGATGCCCCTGGTAAACGCAGGTGATCACACCCTGGGCAGGCTCTGCCCCACGAGGACTGTCCCGCTGTTCCCAGCCTGTCCTCACCAACTGCCCAGGCAAGAGCAAAGCCCACAGGGAGGACCTGTGACCACAGGCAAGGACCACGGACCCCAGCCCCAGGGATTTTGACCTCAAGAAAGGAAACATCCAGAATTTACCCTCCATCTGGTGACCCAGCTGCATCTGGGGTGGGTTTGCTCTCTGCTGGGACCACGAGGTTATCTCAGACCACCAAGAAATGGCACTAGCACAGGTGAAAATCATGGGCAAACTTTATTGGCATAAATCACAGGAATTGAAATGGGAAAAGCCAGGTTAGAAGTTTACAGAGAAAAAATAAAATCAAAATCAAATTTTCAAATAACCATTGACTCAGAGAGTAGACCCCAGAAACCCCAGTCCCTCTTGGGGAGAGTCTGGGGGAGTCACTGTAAACAGAGCGGTAAGGCCTGTGGGTGGAAGTGGAGACATCAGACCTTTGGAGGGGCCAGGCTGACCTTCCCCCACAAACAAAGGAGGGACCCTCTTCGGAGACCCCAGCACACTCGGCTTCTGCCAGGAGGCCAGTGGAGTGGTTTGGACTCTCACCATTAGATCCCAGTGGGGCCCCTTTCTCTTGATCAGGAGCCCAAGGCCTGGCTCCTCTTTCATCCTCGGTAAAGAGCTCTGGGGCTTTCCCCAGAGGAGCCTGTCCCTCTGCCCCAAATCCTATCATGCTCCCTTATGACCTTCTTTCCAGACCCCCCGAGTGCCGATCCCACCTGTGAAAGGGGAGGAGCAGACAAAGGGATATGCCCAGAGGAAATCAACAAGACCAAAGAGACGTCAGAGTCCTGATGGCCAAAATCAGACACCAGCTTTCCTGAGAAGGCAGAAGAGAGAGCCCCACAGAAGCGCTGGGGGCTCAGAAGGTTCAGTGGGTTCACAGGGGAGCAGAGGCTCCTGAGGGCTTACTCAGACAGGAAGCAGCCCCCCAAAACATACTTTCCCCTTCTCCTCTCGCAGAAACAGAACAGATGAGGTTCAGAATTCTAGGCCCAAAAGGGTACGACACCCTTCAACCAGTTTCAGTGAAGAGCTTGCTGGCCTGGGAAGTAAAGAAGGGGTTTCCAAATACAGCAGTTTATAAAACAGTCCTGGTGAGCTATGAAGTGAAAGAGGGGGAGTCACAGAGCTGCTCCCAGTTCACCTGCTTGTGCTAAGAAAAAATAAAATACAAATTGCTTCCCCACCCCGACCCTCAGTACAAAGCAAACTCCACACCAGGGCCACCATCAGCGACAGGCCCAGTGGCGGTGGACAAAGAAGAGAATACAAAAGGGAACGTCTTTAAAATCTCTTCAAAATCATTTTGTATAGAGAAGTAAAAGCAACTCAGGCGATATGAATTCAAACCTCAGTGTAGAAATCTATCAAAGTCAGTACAGTGTCCAGGCACGCCGTCCCGGAGACGGAGGAAGTGACTAGAAAACATTATTGCTGGAGAGGCTTTTCTCAGTAGAACCAGAGCAGGTATAAAAGGGGAGGGCGGGTAAAGGCAGGGGCAGTTACCAGGCCTAGGGCACTGGAAGGGCAGGAGGAGCACAGAGAACCTTCCATGGCCCCTTGGGTTCTCTGCCTTTGGATGGATGGATTTATGCTGGCATTGTCTGGAGGGAGCCGGGTGTCCCCCAGTAATCACAGAACGAAGGCAATTAGGTCAGGGGGGAAATAAGGGTAAAAAGAGACCCCAACAGACCCTGCCTGCCCTTCCCTGCCCTCCGGCTGCACTGTGGAAATATGAGGAAGAGATGGCTCCAGTGTGGGGTGCTGGCCAGGCCAGTTCATGGGGACGTACGTGGGCTGGGGTGGGGCCCCCAGCCTCTACCCCTGGAAAGGATGGAGTGGGCAGCCTGGGGAGAGCTGCAGGAGGGAGGAGGGGGCCCAGAGGCTCCGGCGGGGTGAAGACAAGCAGGGGGACCCCTCACAGCCCTGTCCCTCCTGCACCAGCCGAGAACGAGGGTTCCAGTTTCAGTGGGTTTACCCCTTCACCCCCGGGTGAAGTCTCTGGGTCACAGTAGCAGTTGGCGATGCTGGCTGGGGAAGGGGGGCAGAGACAGGGGCAGGGCGCCTAGCAGAAGAGCTTGAGGAAGCAGTTCTGACAGTAAGGCTTGTCGTTCTGCTCCTTGAAGGTGCCCTTGTTGAGCTGCTTGAGGCAGAAGGCACAGACGAAGTGCTCGGGGTGGAACTTCTTGGCCATGGCAGTGATGCAGCGGCCAGTGATGGGCTTCTGGCAGCCGGAGCACAGCGAGCCGCGCCGCTCGTGGTAGTGCACCTCACAGTAGGGCTGCCCGTCGTGCTCGAAGAAGCTGCCGTTGACGAATGGCGTGAAGCATTCCTGCCAGGTGGAGAGAGGGGCTCAGGGGGCTGTCCCTCGGGCTAGAGCAGCACCCAGTACGATGGGGCCCAGATGGGCATGGTCGGCACACTCGGAGTGACTCCTACTTGCTAGGCACTTACTATGTGCCATGCTGTCCTAAACACTTATTTTTTATTTTTATTAAAAAAAATTTTTTTGTAGAAATGGGCGTCTCACTATATTGCCCATGCTGGTCAAACACGGCCTCCAGTAATCCTCCCACCTCGCCTCCCGCAGTGCTGGGATTCTTTAATTCTTCCAACAAGGGAAGCCACTGAAGCACACAGGTGAAGTGACTTGCCCAGGGTCATGCAGCTACTGAGTTCACAGCCTAGATTCACACACAGGTCTGACTCCTCAGCACTTAGCCAGGTGGCTGCAACAGTGTTCCCAGAAACACAGGTGTGACACTGGTGTGTGGTTAAACTCTGCATCCTAGATTCTCATTGGAGGTTCACATCACATATAGGTAGAAAAGGCTCTGAGAGGGGCTGGGCGTGGTGGCTCACACCTGTAATCCCAGCACTTTGGGAGGCCAAGTTGGGGGGGCGGATCACCTGAGGTCAGGAGTTCAAGACCAGTCTGGCCAACATGGTGAAACCCCATCTCTACTAAAAATACAAAAAATTAGCCAGGCATGGTGGTGCATGCCTGTAATCCCAGCTACTTGGGAGCCTGAGGTGGGAGAATCACTGGAACCCAGAAGGCGGAGGTTGCAGTGAGCCAAGATCGTGCCACTGCACTCCAGTCTGGGCAACAGAGTGAGACTCCGTCTACAAAAAAAAAAAAAAAAAAAGAAAAGAAAAGAAAAGGCTCTGAGAAGTCCTGCAGGGAACAGTGTTTCCCAAACTCATTTGGTCACAGAGCCCTTGTTGAATCCCTAATAACCTCTGTGGGGCCTCCAGAATGCAGTGGTTTTGGAAACCACGGCCCACTTTTGTCGAGTCTGCTAAATACTTGCATCATCTCATTTAATTCTCACATACTCACCTCCCAAATAGGAATGGCCCAGGGCTGCTGCACAGGGCTGGACTGGGGGACATGTCTACCTTGCTCCTGGTTTGTCCCAGCCTCAGTACAAACCCTGGCCCTGGACTGGAGGAAGGAGACCCCTGCCTGCTCCCCCCTTAATAACCCGAAGGGAGGCCTCCGAGCTGGATGCAGAGAGCACGATGAGCAAGACCCCTCTCTCCCCACTGCCTGCTCCTAGCCCCTCCAGATGCGTTCAGGGGCTCCTTACCCGGCACACAAAGCACTCAGGATGCCACAGCGTGTTGAGGGCCGAGATATAGTTCTCCAGGATGGCCCGGGCGCAGCCGCCACACTTTGGTGCGAACATGTCGAAGTAGTCCTTGCGGCAGTAGGCCTTGCCGTCCTTCTCGTGGAACCCTGGGGAGCGGGGGTTTTGGAGGCACAGTTCATTCTGGCTTCCAGAAGTGGAGCCACTCTGACTGCAACCTCAGCAGCGTCTCCCACCCCCACCTCCCGGCCCTCCTGAGAGGCGGCGAGTCAGTCCGCTGGTCCAGCCCGTACCTTCAGGACCGAAGAAGGCTCCACACTGGGCACAGAAGAAGTGTTCAGGGTGCCACGTCCGGTCAAGGGCTGTCACCACTTTCTGTGAAAGCCAAGTGTGGGATCAAGACTGAGCTCCACCCCACTGGGCAGATCTCACAACTGAGATGCCCAGCAAGGCCGCCTTCCACCCGTAGCTCATAGCCACAGACAGAGCGAAACACTCCCAACATGGGGCTCTCTCCTAACTGTGCTGTGAACGCCTCTAAGAATTCAGAGTTACTGAGGATGGGACAAGCCACACACACACCCTCTCTAATCCTCACCCCAAGCAGAGGGCACAAGTTCTACTGTGACTCCCATTTTATACGTGAAGACACAGGCTCAGAGAGACCAGGCATTTCCTGAGTTCCCGGAGCGGGGGAGTGAGGCCGCTGTCGTCCCACTCCATTTATGTCCTCAGGCCTCCTGAGTCCTGGGATCTTCTGGGGGTCTCCAGAGAAGGGAAGCGAGATGGGAGGTGAAGGGAGGTGGGGCTGCCTGATGCACATCGGGACAGGCTATGGTTCAGGTGTGGGTGTGAGTCCAGCCGCACTGTTCCCTAGCCCTGTGAGTCTCCCACGGCACCCCCTGAACCCTCAGAGGGCTGCAGTGAAGCTGGAATCAGTGGATAAGGAACTCACATCCAGGATGGGGCCGTTGCAGTAGTAGCAGCGCGGGGAGAAGAGGTTGTGGTAGTCCTTTTCACAGTAGGGCTGTCCATCCCGCTCGAAGAAGTTCCGGGATCCGATCTCCTCCTGGCAGTGGGTGCAGACGAAGTGCTCGGGGTGCCACGTCTTCCCCATGGCGGTCACAACCTGAGGAGGAGATGGAATGTGGTCCAGGGCCGAGGCCAGCCCCAGAGCACCCCCACCCCTGCAGAGGAGCCCACAGGGCCGAGGCCAGCCCCAGAGCACCCCCACCCCTGCAGGAGTCCACTGGACACACCCCTGCCCACTCCCCCTCATCACCTGCCCGGCGATGGGCTTCTTGCAGGCCCCGCAGACTCCTTTGGCGACCGTGGCGACCCCCAGCTTGTTGAGGTCGGACTGCAGGCTCCCCAGCATGCTGTCTAGCTGGCTCCCGGGCTTCGGGGGCCCCCCAGGGGGGGAGCTGCTCCCTGTCTTCCCCTGGGCCATGAACTGTGGAGACACGGAGGGGCTGGTCAGGACTCCTGAGGCTCAGGGTACGGTGTCTGGCAGCAAAGGGATGGGGGTACTTTTCTCCCTCCTGAACAGATGAGCTGATGGAGACAAGAAGTACAACCTCCTCCAGGGGCCAGGAGCCCTAAAGTGGGAGTGACATCAGCAGGACTCATGGTCGGAGGGGCCCACTGGGGTCAGAAAGGCTCCGGGCACCCAGCAGGCACGGCCAAGCCCAGGGAGAGCACGACACGCAGGACACCCAGCCCAGCCTTGGCACTGACCCCTCCCTCGTCCTGCCCTCCGGGGCTGCTTCGCCCGCTGTCCCGAGGCCAGCCAGCCGCCCAGCACCGCTCCCCATCCGCTCTTTGCTCCAGGCCCTGGATCTTAGATAGGGGAAGAGATGAGGATAAGAAATCTTTTTTAAAAATTAAAGAAGAACGAATACGGGACCTTGTCACTGGACTAAAAGGGAATCTAGGATGAGATCTGAGGGTTTCTCCCCCACCGGCAGGACCAAAATTGGGGAAAAAAATCTGGAGAAAAAGAGCCCTGAGAGAGAGGCCCAGGGAGAAAAGAAGGAGGACAGGGAGGGGAGTCAACCAAAGGCAGAGGACATGGCAAGGGGAGGTGGCCAGACTCAGTGAGGAGGCCTCACCGGGCACTGGGCCTGGGGGCTGGAAGGGAGGAGACAGGCTTCTGGTCTCCTTCTGGAGTGGCTTCCTTCCTCGATGTGAGCCCAGGGCAGTACCGAGGACCAGTCGAGGAAGGAGTGGACACAGGCGAACCCACAGGAAAGCAAGAGGGCGGCAGACCTTCCAAGTAGGGGAATACCAGGGTCAAGGTTTAAGGCAGGACTGTGGTTACTGTGCTGGGGCTAGTGGATGGAGGGATGGAGGGTATCTGAGTGTGTATGTGTGTGTGTGCAGAGTGGGGGACGGCTCAGGCATTAGGACAGGGGACAGAAAGGGAGGGGCTCCTTTAAGGCCTGCCTGCATCGGGGGGAAGAGCGGGTCCTCATCGGTCTGGCAGCCCACGGACCTCATGGTGTGGGGTGCAGGAGTGGAAAGGGTGGGGCCCTGCACCCCCTCATCATGGGGCTCTTCCCCTGGACTCTGGACCCCAGAAGAACCACAGGTGTAAGCTGAGGGCCCCAGAGGGGAGGAGGTGGGCAGGCTGGGCAGGGGAGAAGAGCTGCTGGCCGCGGCGTCTGTGCGATGCTGGAGCAAAGGGACAGAAGGAGAAGCCAGGACAGAGATGGTTCTTCTCAGGGGAATGGGAGAGCCAGGAGGGAAGACAACCTGGGGAAAAGAAAGGAGGGACAGCGATGAGGAAGAAATCGCCAGCTCAGCCCACAGGGGTGGGGGCACCTCCCCAGGCTTCCCCTGGGCCTTCCCACTCTGCACCAAGAGTGGGGCCAGTCTTCCAAGGTCACAGGAGGCAAGAAACTCCCACCCTCCCCAGATCTCCCCTCCAGCCAGCACTGGGGCCAGAAGAACCTGGACCCCAGGTACTTGGCTCTGGCCCAGCCCCAGCCCTGGGCATCTTCTCGCCACCTTCTCTACAAGCTGCCCCCCGGCCCGCTTCCCACGTGGCTGCACGGTGATGACGATGCCCTCGGTCAGCCAGTCCTGGGCAGAGGGCCCCGCTGCCTCCGCCAGCTCCTCTGCCTCAGGCTGGATGCCTAGCCGCCCCTGCAGCTCCGCGATGAGCTGCTCCTGGGATGGGGTCCTGCTCAGGGTGGCAGGGTCCAGCCGGCGGCGAGGGGAGGGCTCCCGGGACATGGGGTGTGCGTGGCCCGTCTCCCGGCTCCTCCTGATCACAGATCGGATCTAGGGGGAGGGGAGGGGAGGCTGTCACCGTCCTACTCCGAGCTTGCACACGCTGCTCAGGCCACACTCAGATGCCTCAGGAGAGGCAGCACAAAAGAAAACCACCAAAGAGCCAAGCAGAGGTGGGTGGAGGCACGGGGAGGGAGCAGATTGGACTGGCTCCAGGAGCACAGGCTGCCAGCGAGACCTCTGATCCAGCATTCACCTCCAAGTTGGCCACTGACCTTAGGCAAGACACTTAAGTGCCGTGGGCCTCAGCTTCCCCTTCCTTAAAATGGAACCACAGGATTTTCTTAGCTTACCACACAGGGTTTGCGCAAGAATTATTCCAGAGGATGTAAGTGCATGCCCTTGACAAGGCATACGGCTTTTTCTTTCTTTCTTTCTTTTTAATTTATAATAGAAAAAGTCTTTCCTTCCAAGAACTTTTTTTGGGTGGTACGGAGTCTCACTGTGTTGCCCAGGGTGGAGTGCAGTGGCACGATCTGGGCTCACTGCAACCTCCGCCTCCTGGGTTCAAGAGATTCTCCTGCCTTAGCCTCCTGAGTAGCTGGGATTAAAGGCGCGTACCACCACGCCCGGCTAATATTTTCTTTTTTTTTTTTTTTTCTTTTTTTAGTAGAGACGGGGTTTCACCATGTTGGTTAGGATGGTCTCAAACTCCTAACCTCGTGATCCGCCTGCCTTGGCCTCCCAAAGTGCTGGGATTACAGGCGTGAGCCGCCGTGCTCAGCTGGCCAGGAACTTTTTTAACTAGTTTTTTTTCTTATTTATATTATTATGCTAATATTACACATATTATGCTATTATACTTGTTGGTAGTGTTTTGAGGGGTTTTGATTGTTTCGTTTTGTTTTCCAAAGAGGCATAAAACTTGGGGGATTTGGGTTATTTTATTTTTGGTTTTTTTTTTTTTTTTGAGACGGAGTCTCGCTCTGTCGCCCAGGCTGGAGTGCAGTGGCTGGATCTTGGCTTTCTGCAAGCTCCGCCTCCCGGGTTCACGCCATTCTCCTGCCTCAGCCTCCAGAGTAGCTGGGACTACAGGCGCCCGCCACCTCGCCCGGCTAGTTTTTTGTATTTTTTAGTAGAGATGGGGTTTCACCGTGTTAGCCAGGATGGTCTCGATCTCCTGACCTCGTGATCCACCCGTCTCGGCCTCCCAAAGTGCTGGGATTACAGGCGTGAGCCACCACGCCCGGCAAGACCGAGTTTTGCTCTTGTTGCCCAGGCTGGAGTGCAATGGCGCAATCTTGGCTCACCGCAACCTCCGTCATCCAGGTTTAAGCGATTCTCCTGCCTCAGCCTCCCGAGTAGCTGGGATTACAGGCGTGCACCACCACGCCCAGCTAATTTTTTTGTATTTTTAGTAGAGACGGGGTTTTTCCATGTTGGTCAGGCTGGTCTCGAACTCCCGACCTCAGGTGATCCACCTGCCTCGGCTTCCCAAAGTGCTGGGATTACAGGCGTGAGCCACCACGCCCGGCCCGGCATAGTTTTAATTAAGTAAAAAGCAAGTAATAAAACTACTGTCAGCCATGGCCTATTGAGGGACCACATGCTGTGTTCTAAATACTTTCCAGGAATTATCTCATTTAGGTCTCTGGACAATCTTAACGGACATGGCCTATCATTCTCCCCACTTTATAGATGAGAAAACTGAGGCTGAGGGAGGGGGTTGCCCAAGGTCACAGAGGTAGCAAGTGTTAGAGATGTGGTTTGGATCTAGGTCTATCTGGTTCCAAAGTCCATGCTTCTAACCATTTCACCACATCAGAAGGTCAAGGCTAGCTCATCCGAAAGGAAAAAGCCTTAACAAAGCAAGAGGTGTGTTGACGCTATGAGAAATGCCGGGTCCACAGAGCCCACTGCCAAGTGCTGATTGTCAGGTCCGGCCACAGTGTCTCAAATTTTCTGCCCAAGCAGACACGCGCAGAGCGGGAGGGGCTGCATGCAGTTAGCGAGGAGCAGCCCGCACTCAGACCCGCCAAGGGCCATGCCCAGCAGCCATGCGAGCTGGCGCCTGCCTGGCCAGAGGTGGAAATCCTCTCCATGGTGCTGGGTGTGCTCGTGGCCATGGCACATGGAAGCTCTGGCTGTTCCTTCCCGGCCTGGGTGGCAGCTTCGGTGGTGCCCTCTGGGCTCCCTGGGGTTTCAGGTCCCTGGGTTGGCCTGGCCACACTTCCCCTCTCAGTCATCTTTGCACCTAGCTGCTCCATGGTAACTGAGGCAGGGGAGCTGCTTCCCAGCCTCCCTGGCTCTGGCCTTGGCCTCTCCTGCTGTAGGCCACGTTCCTCCGTGAGAGTCCAGGTATCTGGGAAGACAGCCTGCCGGTCCACTGCCACTATAGCTGGCTCTATTACTTCTTGGAAGCTTCGAGCAGCTCCAGAAGGGGGCATTCTCTCAGGCCTGAATACCTCTGAAGCCCATGGCTGCTCCCTTGTGGCAGCCAAGGCCTCCTCTGGGCACGAAGGGCTGGCTGGTGGCCCCTGGGGCTCCCCAGGCTCTTGGGGACCTATGCTCCCAGCATAGGGTACAGTGTGGCCGCGGGGAGCCCCAGAGAGCTCATGTGTGAGGGTCGGCAGGTGCCTCCAATCTCGACCCTGGCTCTCTGTGCCCACTGCCCACAAAGAACCCTCCACAGAGGGAGACCTTGAGTTGAGGATATCAGGCATCACCCCAAGACCAGCCAAATCAAGCCAGCTAGGGGCCACAGGAGGTAGAAGGTCTCGTCCACTCTGCTCAGTACAAGGGAACTCCGGAGTGTGGCCCTGGCCTCGAGGGGAGGGTTTAGTGGTGGGTGGCAGGAATACAGATGGTATGGGAGGAGGAGAAGGAGGAAGGGAGCAGTATGAGGATGGAGCAGAGCCGGGCAGCAGCCCCGGGGCACTCAGAGCCACAGTGGAGGAGCTGGTCTGGAGGAGGAGAGAGAAAGGCAGAGGGGAGAAGAGAGAGAGATGAGGGGAGTGAGGATGGCTGCGTCCTGCAGGCGGTGGGCTCGGCATTAGGGCTAACCAAGGTGGCTGCAAAGCTGACGCACAGGACTGACCCTTGAAGGAGACCCAGATCCCAAAAAGGCTTCCCTGGGTTTCACATGCTTAGCCCTTATCAAACCCAAGCAAGAGAAAGCAGCCACCGAGTCATGTCTGTGGAGCCACCCCGGGAGGGTATGAGAAAGAAAAGACCATGGTGAGGTGGACAAATGGGGAGCCAGGTGGCTAGGGAAGACAGCCCCAGGCACAAATGGAGGGAGAGCCAGCCCCGGGGGGCTGCTAAGCCCGCCTCGGACACTGGCCCACCTCAGCCATGTCCCTCCGGACAATCCCAGCTTTCCTCCACCCCGAGTCCTCTACGTCTTCCAAGTCCTTGCTCCAGGGATCTGACTAAAACCACTGCTGCTTCTGGCATCAGGACACAGGCTGTCTAAGAAAACGGCAGTCTTACAAGCACTGGGACACAGCTCCCGCAGGCCAGGCCCTGAATCCAACTTACTTGCTTCTGACTATGGCGGCTCAGAACCACTGGCCTGGAGCTAAAACTACAGCATGCAAGGGTCACAGGGCCAGGCTCAACCCTCCACCCCAGCCACACTCCCATCTCCCACCATGAAACCTCAACTGGAGGGAGGCTAGGAGGCACCATCAAGACCAAGGGTGCAGGGACCGCTCACTCCCTTCTCATATTCCCTAGGTCATGCCCCAAAGGTCTCCAGCTGACCCACGTGGAAGTGTGAAGTCAGCAACTGCTGGTGAGTTCTGTCAATATCAATCCCCATGGAAACACTGTATCCTCTAAATTAAACATCCCAGGCCTGGCAGGACTGGGGAGACCCAGCAAGGGAGGGGAAGGGCAGGTACCTCGTGCAAGGCTGGCCCCACGGTTTCCCACAGACATGCTCGTGGGAACTCAGAGGCCCTGGAGGGCGAGAGGGAAGGATGGGAGAAGGGTAGCGAGGGAGGCTTGTGGATTCAGGAGCAGAGGCAGAAAGAAAGAGGATGTGTTGAGGACAGCTAGCGTGGGAGATGGGGCTCCAGGGCAAATGACCTCCCAGGCACAGGCTCCCAAGTCCCACATGGCCCAGCACAGAATGCCCTCCCCTACCAAGAGCAGCCATCAACACAAGGTTCTTTGTCCCAGCGTCCCAGCCTCCTGATCCCCTTGACCTGAGTGGCTGGGAGCACCCGGGGAGGAAGGAATGTCCCAGCTGAGCACTTCTCCAGCTTGTCTGCCTTCACTGGCTACTGCAATCCTCAGGCAGGCTCACCCGGCCCTCCCTCCCCTATCTCTTGGCATCACAGCAAGGCCAGGGCATGACAGGGTCCCTGGCTCAGGGGCAAGGCACCCAAACACTGAGGTACCAAGGTCTAGCTACCCACACTGAGGTAAGGGAGGAGAAGGATGAGGGAGGGGCAGCAGGGCAGGGAAGATGGAGGGTTCACAGGGCACCTTGAAATCCGACAGCGAAGCCATCAGCTCGTCCAGCTCCCTGGTGGCAGAGGAGGCTGAGATGCGCGTCTGCTGCTGGGTGGAGGTGACGCGCTGCGGGCTGCTCATCTCGCCCTGGTTCACAGTGATGGCAGGGCTGCAGGGTGGGCGTGGCATCAGTGGGGAGCCCAAAGTCAGCCCCACACTTCCCAGGGATCAAATTGATCCCTCAGCTCGGACACTGGGGTCTCACCATCCCCACGCCCAGGGAGGCCCACCAGCTCCCAGTCTCTCCTGGGGACCCATCATTGGGTCAGAAGAAAGGGCAGCTCAATGGCACCAGGAAGTGCCAGGAAGACTCCTCTAGCCCCTAGCCCAAGTGAAAGGTGGCCTGTGAAACAAGCCCAAGCGCCCTATGTTTCCTCCACAACACCGGACGTGGAGGTGAGGCTACTGCAGTAACACAACGGCGCTGGTACGAACTCGCGTGTTGGGCACTCACCATGTGTGCCACGCACTGCACACCAGAAACCATTCTAAGCGCTTTACATGGATTACTGGTTCTCACCCTTACTGAGGTAGGTGGTCTTATTCCAGTGATCCCATAAGCCCTTGTCCCATTTTACAGATGGGAAAACTAAGGCTTGAGAGCTGACAGTAATTGTCAGAGCCAAGAAGTGAAACCCTACTGTGTGGCCCCAAAGCCTATGCTAAGAGCTGCTAAGCTCCAGGCACCCTCGGCGTGCACAATATCTGTCCTTTCTGACTGGTAGTGACTGACTGAAGGCAGGGATGGTGTCCATGAGACTCTCCACTATCCCCCCAGTGCCTGGCAAACGGCAGACACTGGAGGGAATGGGTGATACCAGGGCTAAGGGGACAGACGCTGGACCCAGGGCAGGCTGAGCCAGCCCTTCCCCACCTGGGGAGAGCCCAGTGGGTACTCACACGGGGCTGGGCACGGAGCTCTCCAGTTCATCCAAGAGACTCTCCACGCTGGGCCGCACGTCCTCCAGGCCCCGGCCCCCATTCCGCTTAGGCTTCTCTTTCGTCAGGGGCCCAGCTTTGCCTCCCAGGGGGCTGTTAGTCTCTGGGACACCATAGTGGGGGCTCAGGGCCCCAGGAAGCGGGGGGCTTGAGTTGGCCTCATCTTGCAGAGAGGAGAGAAAAAGGCTGCTCAGCCCTTGAGCCCTCCTGGGATGTAGAGGTCAGCAGGTGGGCCCTGGGCCCTGGGCCCTGGTAGACCCTGCCCCAGGGACCCGGTCCTACCTGCAGGGAAGCCTGGTGGGTTATGCTGCACAGCATTCAGTTCCAGCAGCAGGCGGTCGAGTTCAGAAAGGTTGCTGCCCAGGGACGTGCTCATTACGGTGGGTGAAGGCTCAGCTGATTTCTGCTTGTTGGGGAAGCTTTGAGAGGCAAAGGAAAGAAGACAGTGAGAGATGCTCTCTGGCTTTGTACTGGCTTGGCAGTTCCCAAATTCCCAAGGAGAACAAGGCAGAGGAGATATGAAGTCTTCCCCCACAAGAGGACAGAGGGTAGGGAAGGGACTAGTAAGAAGAGGGGAGGAAGGAAGTCTTGCTTCAGTTCCTCAGCTACACAGAGATGCTGTGACAGCCCAGAATGTCTACAGCATGGAGATGGCACTGATGAGGCAGATGGGCCCATCGAGAGGCCTTCTGCAGCTTAAACCAGAAGAACCCCACACGGCCCAGTCGCCACGCCTGCTCCTGGGCCTCCGCTGCCTCCCACCCTGGCCAGGTTCCTGAGATTTCTAAGCAGGAGGAAAGGTGCCCTGGGCAGACTGGGGCAGTACCTGTAGACGTGCTCCTCCTCACCCACTCGGGAGCACGGAGAGCCAACGCTGTCCTGAGGGTTGGAGGCACTGGAAGTTTTGGCACTGGAGCCGTACACAGGTGATGAGGACTGAGGCTGTGAGAAGGAGAACACTCAGAGGCTACCCCAAGGGGAGAAAAAGGAACAGGGGCCAGGAGCAGCTCGAGTCACCCCCAGGAGGCCCCTGCCCACAGCCAGCCTCACCAGGGAATTTCCACAGTCAGGCCAGGAGACCTGTGATTAACCACTTGGTCACTGCCCCACTCACATGGTGAGTAGAAAGAGCAGTGTCTGGTTGAGAAAGGTCGACTGCCCCAATTCCATTCCATCCCCTGGTTCCCTAAGCCCCTGCCAGGTAAGTTCCCTCTGTCCCCCAGCCTCCTCCACCTTCCCAGTCCCTGTCCCCGCCTCACCTGCTGGTGGATGAATCGGGAGCCACTGGGCTGCCACTGGTCTAAAGGGTCAAGGATTGTGCCATTGAGGGCCTCGCTGGACGGGGGTGGGGGGACGGGGGGTGGCACGGCGATCTCCTGGTATGTGTGGTTTCCAGTTGGGTATGAGTAGGGGGTCTCCTCCGACAAGAACACAGGCCGTTTGGAGATGTGGGAGGTGGTGGACTCCAAGTCCGCCAGCAGGGCGTCTGCAAAGAGAAGGCACGGGGAGCAGGTGAGAACCGGGATCCTGGGGACTCTCCCATGGCAGGGCCCTCCCTGCCTGCACCTCAAGAGTTAATGCCTTCTAGCACCTGCCCCACCCATGGGAGAAATGACCAGCCTCGGGACAGGAAGCGGACCAGCCTAACCAAGAGCCGGCTCCCAAAGCTGACTTCTCCTGGCCACCCAGGACTGAAGGTACTCTATAGGCGGGCTCTGGGGCTGCCCCGTGGGACCTCCTACCTCTGGGAGTCAGGCACCTGGTGCTGCGTTCCCTCCTGACAGGGCCGCGCAGCCGCGAGTGAGAAGTGCCTGCCTGGAACTCTGAATCTGCAGGGCAACGCGGAGAGAATGGGCGGGAGGGGCCCCACGTCACAGGGAGGGGCCCTGGCAGTGCCAGGCCCTCACTTGATTTCTACGAGCGTAGGCTTTCTCAGCCCCCGACTGGAAGGGGCACACAGAATAGTCCCTGCCCTCCTGACCAGGTGGAAGCAGAAGCCCAGGCTCCAGGTTCCTCCTGAGGCTCCAGGCTTATGGGGTAAGGTGTGCGGGGAGGTGGGGGCTGGAGTGAGGCTGGTGCAGCGGTCCCCACCCGCTCAGTGAGCAGGGGGCAAGACTGCTCCGTTGGCTGTTTCTGCAGAAGTCTGGCAAGCAGCCCGACCCCAGAGGCTCCAGGCCCCCACTGTTCTGCTTTTAACAGCAGCAAAGGAGCCAAATCAGCCCTCCAGTGTAAGCTTCCATTACCCTGGCACCTGGCAGCCAACAGGGGGCACTAGGTCTCCCCAGTCTCCAGAAAAGAAGGATATAGATAGAGGGGCAGGGGTAGGACCTGCTGACCCCCACCTCCTCCATCCCCTCCTGGGACCCTCAACAGCACCACAGCTCAGACAGCCTGGCCCTGGATGCCACACCCTCATTCCTGCCCCGTTCACAACTTGCTCACTCTCAGCTCCCTGGTAACCTGCTGGGTCCAGGGAGCTGACAGCTTGATCCCTAGCCCTCAGGATAATAAACATCTAAAAAGCAATGGCTGCGTTTATTGCCACTTATTAGTACCAGGCACACTGCTAGGCATTCTAGTGGCATGTACAAGGTCTCCGTTAATCCCCCTAATACCCCCTGTAGTTGGAATTCTGATTCTCCCCACAGGGATGAATAAAGCTGGCTTGGAGAGGCAGAGGTCAGATGTGTTTGCTCCGAATAACAAAGCCAGCGAGTGGCACAATTGTCTGACTCCTCAGAAGCCCCAAACCCCAAAATCCTGGCCTGTAAGAGGCCACTATGACTGCCAGATGACGCCACACTTAAAGGGTTCAACTTCCTGAACGCTGGAAGCCCAAGCTGTGAGGCCTGCCAGTGTGATCCTTCCTTGTGGTCTTGCTCCCAGTCCCCCAACCTGTGTTCAGAGGAGGGAAGAGAGAAGCAAGGCCCTCACCCAGGGCCTTGGTTTATGGGGCCACACCTTCTCCCAGCTGCCTGTCCTGATCTCCTACCCTCAAGGCTGGCCACACCTACCCCTGGTGTGTAGAACAGAGGGGATGTCTGTTCCAAGGCCTAAGACCCCGGGTCTTGTCTCCTGACCTCCAAGGAAGGTCAGGTCCTACAGCCCGCCCCGCCCCTCCAGGTCCCATGGAGGAGGCCTGGCTTCCTGTCTCTAGCAAACCGGAACTAGAAGGAGTTGGCAGGTATCTAGGTAACAGCAGAAAAGGAACCAGTGTCCAGCCAATCCCCACAGCCTCTCCAGCGCCACACCTGCTGTCTTGGCTGTACGCAGTGTCCTCATTTCCTCTGGGCCCAATCAGCAATGGGCGGGTCCCTCTTTCTCTACCACGGGCAGGGCCAGCTAAGAAACCCCACAGGACTCCCCAGAGCAGGCAATGAGTGCAACCCCGGTAGGGGCAGGAGCAGCTGCCATCTTTGAAGGCCCACTGGGGCCAGGAACTTCACCTTTGTTACCTGCCATCCTCCTCACAACGCCACTAGCACAGATGGCATAACTGCGGTTCAGAGGCAGAGTCACATCCCACACTGCCACGGCTGGCTGAAGTGAGAATGCTGGACTCTGAACTCAGGTCTCTTGGACTCCAAACACCCAACAGAAGACAATGGTCAGGCTTCCTTGTCAAACATTTTGAATCAGGGACTCCACCAAACGCCCGCTCCACCACAATGTGATTCTAAGCCTGGGCTTTTGGTTTATGGATTGGATTCTGGTTTATGATGTCAACAGGCTCTTGGGCGCACAGATCCCTAGGTTGGTGGAGTATTGGTGAGAGGATGCAGTCCTGGGGCACAGAGACAAAAGATCACTCATTCTGAGGTCGAGCCACACCTGAGTTCAAGCGCCAGCTCCCCTCTCTACTATCCATGCCACATGGCAAATCGCTTAGCTTCTCAGGGCCTGTTTTCTCAGTAAGCTCTTGAATAACTCTGACCTCCAAGCACTGGTGTGAGGTTTATAAGGGCCAGCAGGTACACTGGAAGCTGCAAACATCAGCTGCAAATATCAGGCTTTCCAGACCCAAGTCACTCTGCAGGAGGAAGCTCCATAGCACAATGGAAGCTACAAACATCAGATCTGATTTGCTCTGTAAAATCCAGAATAAGGCCTTCCTCCAGGGAGAGAAGTGTAGGTAGGATGCAAAGTACTGCCTTCTCCTGTCTCCTAAGTCTTTTCTGGATAGAATACGAGCAAAACATGGCAAAGAGGGCAACCTTGAAAAGGAAAGTAATAAAGCAATATTCAAAGTGCAGCATGTCCCAGCCTGGGCAATACAGTGACAGCCTGTCTCTACAAACAATGTAAAAATTAGCTGGCTGTGGTGGCGCATGCCTATAGTCCCAGCTACTCAGGAGGCTGAGGTGAGAGGATCACTTGAGAACAGGAGTTGGAGATCAGCCTGGGCAACATAGTGAGACCCCATCTCTACAAAAAATTTAAAAAGTAGCTGGATGTGGTGATAGGAGCCTGTAGTCCCAGTTACTCAAGAGGCTGAGGCAGGAGGACTGCTTGAGCCCAGGAGGTCAAGGCTACAGTGAGCTACAATTGCACCACCGCACTCTAGCCGGGGTGACAGAGAGAGAATCTGTCTTAAAAAAAACAAGCAAACCATAGAGTGTAGATGTCAGGGAGAAAGCACATCATTATTCAGTTTCCTCCAAAGATTTGTCCATTTGAGGGGCAGAGAAAAACCCCAGCAAGTCCATCCACCAGCCACAGGGTCTCTGGTATGGCTTCCTCCTCTCTCTCAACTCTTCATCCTCACCTAGAGATTTGGACAGGCAAGAACTAGGTGAGAGGGGTAGGGGTTAGTGCCTCCAAACCCCCCAACAAACTCCTCAAGAAAGGACCAGAAATATAGGAGGCAAGCCAACAGCAGACTCCTAGCTTTACTTTGGTTTCCAATGGGTACAAATACCTGAGACTTCCCCAAGGCTGCAAAATGGTTAAGGGTCAAAGTCCCCTTGCAAGGTCAGCAAATGTCCCCTCTGGCTTGAGCAAAGAGCCGGCAGACACTGTGCAGGAGTCCACTTGAAGGCAGAGCCCTATCGCAGCGGGGTCCCCCAGTGTCCAGCTCCAGCCTTTCCTTCCGCTCTAAATATTCCTTCTACTCATACCCCAAGGAAGGTGTCAGGCTATCCACTCTTCAGAGAAAATGGTACCCACTGAAACCATTCGAGACCAGGAATACACCCTCCCTTCCCACATGCTGGGAGGACAGGTTCCCTCATCCAAGCTAAGGAAGGCCTCAAACTTCCTTGGCATTACTCTACTAAGTTTCCAGGTCCAGGCTTGGGGCCCTCCAGACCCAAGTCACCCTGAAGGAGGAAGCTCTTTCTGGGGCTTCCCAACCACTTTCTGGAGGAAACGCACCCTGAATTCTGCAGGTTTTCTGTCTCTCTGGGCCAGCGAAAGTATGCAACATGAGGAGTAGGCCAGGCTGTCTCGAGGCTGGGGGCGGGCTAGGTGCAAAGTCCCCAGCGAGCCATGGGCAAAGGCCATGGAGCTATGTCCTGGCTCCGCCCTGGCAAGGAAGGGGTGCAGACTGTCTGCTGCTGCCCACCAGAGGGCACCATTGGCCCGTCGGCTTCCTGCCACTGGGAGTAACCAAAGGTAACCTCGTGCAATCTTAGAATTTTCTAGCAGGGGAAGACCGGGGAGCCCCTGGCCATGGGTGCAGTGGGGAAGTTTCAATCCTGAGAGAACAAGGCTGAGTTGGAGGAACACAGCAAGCTACTAGGAGGAACGCAGGTGGCCTGGGTACACGCTATCACTTGAAGGCGCAACCCAAGGGTGACATGCAGGGCTCTGGAGAACCAGAGGGGTGCACGCCCTCACTTCCAGGGCCCTGTGCAAATGCAGCACTGTATGGCCCCCATCTGTACCCCATGGATGCACCTGGTCAGAGCATGGAGCAGCTGCAGCTTTGGGCCGGGAGGCCGCCCTGGGGCAGGTGGCTGGGCAGAAACAGCGCACCACGGCCAGGCTGAGAGGAAGAGGCCCTTCCCCGGGCCTCAGCACCCGACTGAGCATAATCCTTACGGTGGGAGCCGCTGGCTGGAGCCGCATAATCCTCCAGTGGGAGCCGCTGGAGGGTTAAGGTGCAGACACCTTCAGCCCACTGCTCCGAGGAGGAGGGGACCGGTTCGCCTGCATTCCAGAGCCAGTGCTGCAGCTGCGCCCCTCACATTCCTGTACCCACCCAGGGGCTCAGGGTGGAAGGAAACCTGGGTCCCTTTGTACTTACAATGGGGATGTCCCCCAGACCGTGGCTTCTGACACATGGCACTCAATACCAGATTAAAGAGGATCAATGAAACCCTTCCGTCCCCACCCCCAACTGAAGCATAGAAACAAGCCAGGCTTCTTCCTCCTACCCAAGCCCCTGCCACTTCTTAGTGTGTGATAAAGACCTATCGAGACCAGAGGCCTGGAGCTGGACAGGCGCCAAGAGAGAGGAGATAAAGGTCCATCTCTCTGAGGGGG